ATGTAAATGTGCGGTAAAATAAATTTATAAATAAATTTCTTGTAAATAAATTGCTGGTATGGACGATAATCCTGCACCATACTTTAAATAAATGTAAATGTGCGGTAAAGTAAATTCATAAATTAAATTGCCTCATGTATGGACGTTAATCCCGCACCATACCTTAAATAATAATAAATGTGCGATAAAGTAAATTGCTTGCTGTATAGACGTTAATTCCGCACCATACTTTAAATAATAATAAATGTGCGATCAAGTAAATTGCTTGCTGTATGGACATTAATTCCACACCATACTTTAAATAATAATAAATGTGTGATAAAGTAAACGTGCTTGTATGGGCACTAATTCTACTCTATACTTTTAAATGAAAAGTAAATACAGTTGTGTGGACGATAAACCCGCACCACACTTTTAAATAAATATTGTCATATGGGTAATAAACCTACTCCATACAGTAAATAAAATAATGTGGGGATAAAACCACCACCTAATACATATGAAGTATATAACATATTATATATTGTGGGCAATATAACTGCGCCACTGTTCATATTATATAATAGATGAGGCATATGACAGAGAGGAGAAAAAGAAATAACCACATAGTGTTGAGCTAGGAAAATTTAGAAGTAAAAGGGAGAGACTATTGTGCTGATAATGTGTTATAGAAATAAAAATAATAGAGTATGAAAAGTACCACTGAATATTGGGAGTAGAATTGTATTTGCTCTTGTGATGTTTACACTGACAGAATTTCCTCCTAGATAGAACTCACTCACTTTTGTTTCCTCTCACTCTTCCTTTCTCTTGTCTTCTCCATTAGTGTATTTTACAAGTGAATGAGCAAACCTATTTATAGGAAAATTGGATGGCTTCATTACCCAACATCATCACTAAGCTTTTGACTAAGCTTCCAACATCATCATTAAGTTTTTGACTAATCTTCCTTCTTTTCCTTTATGTGGGCTTCACCACTTTCTTTACAACAAATAAATCATTATGCATAGCTTTCCATCTTGAAAATAATGATTGTTATTTACAACAAAGTCCACTAATAGATAATCCAACACTACTTGACTTTGAGAGGGTCCCGCCTGTTGATTACGCTGGGCCGGAGTATCGATTTAAGAATACGAGGGCTAGATTAAAATAAAATACTTTGAACGATAAAATCCTAGTTTTCTTGGGATTCCAAGTATGTGAACGACGACCGAGACGTTCCTAATGTCCAACTATGTGTTTCGAATAGTGGAATAACCTCGGAAGACTCTCGGTCAACCGAGTAGTCAAACTTCCCAAACTTGGTCAACTTGGCCCGCGAGGCCCACGATCTCCAATTTCCGATCCGAAAAAATTCCTACGGGTTTAACAAGATTTACTAGACAAGTCCTGCAAGTGTGGTCCAGATCAAATGGTTGGATCGCTCGTGATCGCACAATCACCGTTTTATGCAAATTTTGAGTTATTAAATCGGAGTATTTGGGACTTTGATTCTCGATCCGCGAATTCCTATACGATCCTAGAGATACCCAGATCAACATATTTGGAAACGGAGTCGATCCAAAGGTCCGAACATGTCAAACCCGGATAACACCTAATATGTGTAAATCCGATTGATAGTCAAAACGATACCCAAATTCAAATATGAGCATTCCATCGTGCTCAGGAAGACGTGTGGAACATTTTATGACCAAATAGGCCACCAAAAAATGGTCCACGAGCCGCCACACTGGCCGGCAACATCTAGAGAAAATTCTGACGATCAAAAAATTCTCAAACCACCCAACAATACATATACCTGCGTGGTCATGACAATTAGTGGAGCAACTTTTGTTCTTGGGCCAAAGCCAAAAAGTGACTAGAACTTGCCGAAAACTCGAGCCGAAAACTGGCCAAATCTTTGAATTGTCAAACGAGTTCCAAAACTTCAAAATCAATCCTAACCAACCCAACCATTAGCTAGGTCACGTTGAAAGGATGAGAAAGCATACCTAGATAGACAAAATTGGGGGCCAGCATCACCAGAAATAGCATAGGAAATTTTAAAGAATTTCCAGCTGGTTTTCACGATTTTGCCGACCGTAGTGATGGCTACGGGAGGGGCGGGATGGAGAGAGGGAAATGAGCTGGTCACTTTGGTACCAGTCTTGTGACTGGCGATGGTCGGACTTAGGTGGTGGCCAGCTGAAACTATGGGGGTTGAGAGAGAGAGAGAGAGAGAGAGAGAGGAATATGAGTTTTAAAAAAATCCCGCTTCGAAATATTTACAATTGTGCGACTGCACTTCCGTTGATCGTAACTTCTTCGTTATAACTCCGATCTGAGCCCACTAAGCAACAGTACCATTCATTTCCATTCATTTCCCCAAAATCCTTCCAGGTTAAAATGTGACCAAAATAACCCTACCCTTGATGCCAAAATTGTAATTTCATAATTAAATAAATAAATAAATTTAAAATGGATAATTAAATGGTTAAAAGTTGGGTCAGGATGTTAAACTCATAGCCACATGCCCAACCGATCAAACCACACGCCTCGTGCTTAGCTAGATATCCTCGAGTTGCACCACCCCACATGCCTAGCCAACCACCCTAAGGGACACCTCGGCTAGGAGACTTAGCCGCGAAGAGTTATGGACCTCCACCTGCCTGGTTACCATTGGACCACTTCAAGTACAACACCAATCTTTTAAAGACGGAGGTCTAGCCCCCCTCGAACTCTTGGCTCAGTCACTTCCGCAATCACGTGTCAAAGAAGGTCAAGGATTGCTCAGAGAGCCATCACCCGTGGATATCGCGTAAGACATTCATGACTACCCACGTGTTGACCTCTAATTAGCCTTTGCTCAGACGCGACAAGTTACCAGAGCCCAGTTGTTCAGTCTAGTGGGCTTCGCCTCCCTAAGACACACAGATTGCCTTGGCAATATGCCTATAAATAAAGGACTCTCTTGGAAGAAAAGGGGACTAACTCTTCCTTCCACTTAGAATTTCTCTACTTGTGTATACTCAACAAACCACTTGTATCATCTTGTTCATATCAATATAAGCATCTCTTACAATCTTTTATGGTGTTATTCCATATCTCAAACTCAATTCAAACACTTGTCTTACTAACCTTGCATCCCCTCTATGGTCAAGGTTTGCGTAGACTATTGGTCTCACTTGTTAACAAGTTTATTAGAACACATACTGAAATTACCTATAGAATAGCTTTAAGTGCCCTTTTTCTACCCCATTTTCACAAGCACTTAAGGCTATAAAGAAAATTAAAGTCTTGAAATTTTGGAGGTTTTTAAACAACTAAAATCAATATGCCTCTTTTAGATGCTATTAAACAAATTCTGTCATATTCAATTTTTTGAAGGATTTATACACTATCAAAAGAAAGCACAATGTTGATAAGACCGCATTTTTAACTAAAAATATAACTGCAATTCTTCAAATTAACACTCCACCTAAGTACAACGATCCAAGTTATCCCACAATTTCATGTCTTATTGGGAATTTTAGCATTGAACAAGCTTCAGTGGATTTGGGTGCTAGTGTTAATTTATTGCGTTACTCAATTTATAAGCAATTGGGTCTTGGTGAATTAAAACCCACCTCAATCACATTGCAATTGGCTGATCGTTCAGTCAAAATCCCAATAGGTATGGTGGAAGATGTGCTGGTTCAGGTAGACAAATTTTATTTTCCAGTTGATTTTATAGTTTTGGATACTGAACCAGTTGTGCATTCTAGTTCTCAAATTCATGTTATTCTTGGAAGACCATTTCTTGCTACATCTAATGCTCATATAAATTGCAGCAATGGACTTACACAACTATCATTTGGGAACATGACATTGGAGCTCCACATATTCAACATATGCAAGCAGCCTGGAAACAATGAAAATGACCAAGAAGTTAACATGATTGAGACAATTGTTCAAAATAGCTTTAATTCCTCGTGTTCTTCTAATTCAATGCAAATTTTTTTGGTAAATGGGGATTGTAATTTTGCACAAGATTTTGAAGTACAATATCTTTGTTCTTTGTTCTTTGTTGGATTCTACGCAGGTACAAGAACATAATGGTTGGGTACCAAAACATGAAGTGCTGCCAACTGTGAGTGATAAGACAAAATCATCAAGAGAAGAAGCCCCAAAATGTGAATTAAAGCCTCTTCCTGCTGGACTTAAATATGTTTTTCTAAGAGAAGATGAGACATATATTGTGGTAATATCTTCTAAACTAAAACTTCTGCATGAAGGTATGTAACATAAGGTTTTGGAAGATCATAGGACTGCTATTGGATAAACTTTATCTGATATTAAAGGTATTAGTCCTTTGGTTTGCACACACCAAATTTTTCTTGAAGAAGATTATAAACCAGTTAGGCAAGCTCAACGTAGACTTAACCCAACAATGAAATAAGTTGTGCAAAAAAAAGTACTTAAACTTTGGGATGCATGTATCATATATCCGATTTCTGATAGCAACTGGGAAAGTCCTACACAGGTTGTTCCTAAGAAATCAGGAGTCATAGTAGTTGAAAATGATAATGGAGAAATGATACCAACTAGGGTTACCACTTGATGGAGAATGTGTATTGATTACCACAAATTGAACTCAGTTGCAAGAAATGATCATTTTCCTTTACCATTTCTTAAGTAAACTTTGGAAAGAGTTGCAGGGCATGTGTATTATTGTTTTTTATATGGTTATTCAGGATATTATTAAATTGAGATTTCATTGGAAGATCAAGAAAAAAAACAACTTTTACTTGCCTATTTGAAACTTTCACTTTTAGAAAAATGCCTTTTGGTATTTGCAATGCACCCGCTACATTCCAACGTTGCATGAGAAGTATTTCTAGTGACCTGGTAGAAAAATATTTGGAAGTTTTCATGGATGATATTACTATGTTTGATGATTCATTTTCTGATTGTTTAACTAACTTGGAGAATGTTCTTATCAGGTGTAAGGAGTGCTTAACAAGGAGAAATGCCAATTCATGGTCACATCTGGCATAGTGGTTGGACACATTGTTTCTCACAAAGGAATTGAAGTGGGTAAGTCAAAAATTGATTTAATTGCTAATTTTTCTATTCCTAAAACTGCTAAAGATGTTAGATCTTTTTTGGGACATGCAAGTTTCTACCAGAGATTCATACCAAATTTTAGTGCAATTGCAAGGCCATTGAATAATCTCTTGGAGAAAGATGCTAAATTTGATTGGACTTACGCATGTCAAGAAGCATTTGAGAAGTCAATTAAAATGCTAACATCAACTCCTATAATGCAGAACCTAGATTGGTCCATGCCCTTTGAAATAATGTGTGATGCTAGTGATGGTGCTATTGGAGCAGTGCTAGGCCAAAGAAAAGACAAGAAGCCTATTGTTATCTCCTACGCAAGCAGAACTTTGAATAGTGCACAGGAAAATTACACTACAACTAAAAAAGAATTGCTTAATGTGGTTTGTGCATCAGAAAAGTTTAGATCAAATATTTTAGGCTCACAAATTGTTGTTTTTACAGATCATTCGGCCTTGAAGTATTTGTTAACAAAGAAGGAAGTCAAAGCACAATTGATTAGATGGATTTTGCTTATCCAAGAATTTGATCTTACAATCAAGGACAAGAAATGAGTGGAGAATGTTGTTGCAAATCATCTTTCTATGATATCTTTTGAGGAGCCTTTTGAACATTTACCCATAAAAGACTCATTTCCTGATGAATAATTTTTTGGTGTTTCTAAATTGCCATGGTTTGCTAACATTGTGAATTTTCTTGCTACAGGTCTTATCCCACCTCATTGGACCTCACAAAAGAAAAAAAAATTATGGTTGAGGTGAGATAATTCTTTTGGGATGACCCGTATATCTTCAAATATTGTCCCGACCAGGTAATCCATAGATGTGTTCTTAATGATGAAATATTAGTGTCATCTCTTTTTGTCATTCTGAGGCTTGTGGAGGTCACTTTTCTTCCAAAAAGACTATAGCCAAAATTCTTCAATGTGGTTTTTATTGGCATAGACTTTTCAAAGATGTGTATGAAGTTTGCAAGACTTGTCCAATTTGTCAAATGCTAAGAAAAATTACTCAACGTAATATGATGCCTCTTAACCCAATTTTAATCATTGAAATTTTTTACTATTGGGGCATTGATTTTATGGGTTTTTCCCCCATCTTTTGGTTACTTATATATCCTTGTTGATATGGATTATGTTTCAAAATGGATTGAGGCTATACCATGTCGAAAGGTTGATCATAAGACTCTTTTGAAAGTTTTGGAAGAAAATTGTCCGGGTTTGGTATTCCTAGAGCGATCATTAGTGATGGAGGATCACATTTTTTAGACTGACCATTTGAAGCTTTGATGAAAAAATATGGGATAACCTATAAGATTTCCACCCCATACCACCCACAGACAAGTGGCCAAGCTAAACTTGCAAACAGGGAAATGATGCAAATTTTGGAAAAGACAGTGAATCCAACTCGGAAGGATTGGTCATTGAGACTAACTGATGCTTTGTGGGTATACCATACTACATATAAATCACCTCTTGGTATTTCCCCATGCAGGTTAGTTTATGGTAAACCTTGTCATTAATTTATTGAATTAGAACATAAAGCATATTGGGCTATCAAATTGTTTAACTTCAGCCTTGGAGACGCAAGTACCTTAAGAAAATTCCAATTGAATCGACTTGAGGAATTAAGAATGATGCATATGAGAACCCAAGAATTTACAAAGAACGTATTAAAGTTTTTCATGATAAAAATATTTTGAGGAAATATTTTGATCCTTCTCAACTTGTTCTTTTGTATAATTCTAGACTTTATTTGTTTCCTAGAAAATTAAGAACTAAATAGACATTTCCTTTCATTGTTAAAAGAGTTTTCCCATATGGGACTGTTGAAGTTGAGGATCCCAAGAATGGAAATATTTTAAAGGTTAATGGCCAACGGGTTAAACCTTACTTTGGGAGATGTGTTCTTGAAGATTGAGACAGTTTCTTTGAACGATCCTGTTTACCAGGATTGATTAGGCTTCCCATAGTCCATCTGTTGTATATAATTAGTTTGGAAATTTATGTTCACCTAGAAAAAAAAATCAACATTTCTATTTTGTTTATTTTTTTAGTACACTAACAAGTTGCAGGCTTTCACTTTGGATGTCAATTATCAGGTAACGCTACCTTCTTCTTTTTATTATGCTTATATGTTTAAACATTGAGGACAATGTCAGTCTTTGGTTGGGGGTAGAGAAGATGTGTTTATTATATTATTTTCTTGTTACAACATGTTAGTTTTTCCTTTCGTTTTGTCTTTGTTTTTGTTTTGTTTTTGTATTTTGTTTGTTTTCATCAATCTTTTCCCTTTGAAAAAAATTATATAATAAAAAAAACTGAAAAGTGTTAAAGGAAAACATTAAAACAAAAATTGTTGTCATTATTTTTTTATGAGGTTAGTGCACTATGTTGTTTGTTTTTTATAGGCTGTCTCTAACAAGAATGCATTGCACTTAGATTTATTTGATATTCATGAATGATTTTAAGATTAAGAACATATGAATGATATGGTAATTATCCCACTTTTGAGTCTTTTTCATTCATTTCTAGTTAGTGGATGATTTATGAGTTATACTTTAACAATTTACACAAGCACACTAACATTTTTTGTGGGGTATAAAGTTAAAAATCAATTGTGTTTAATCTTTTATCTTCGGTAACTTGGACGACCTTGCTTTTGACTGATCTTGGTTCAAAAATAAATAAATAAATAAAAAGTTCATGAAATAATAGTGTTTTATTCAAGCTTTTACTTAGGGCTAGTTTGACATTGCTGTGCTATGAAAATAATAGCTGTCAGATTTGCTGTGAGAGAAATCACCTGTGAGAGAAAGCAGTTTGGCATTTGGTAAACTTTTTGTTAAAAGTGTTGTTGGTACTGATTCCCGTATAATCAGAAAATGATTGCTGCATAATCATTAAACTCAGCGCCTCTTCAAAACTGATTCCTGCATAATCAGAAAATGAAAGCACCTCATTAATTGTTTTCCCTTATAGTTTTCTCTCACAACAATTTTTATCAATAAGTGATTTTCTTAAAGTTTACCAAATGGGATGGGCTTCCCAAATTTTTTAAAAATTAATTATTACCCCAAATAAGCAATGTCAGATGAGCACTTAGTAACCTGGCATCTTACCTAATCAGGAATGAGTGTTCACATCAAACAATGAAGTTTTGGGTATGAATAATTTTGTGTGGCTAGTTTAGTGTCGTAGCATTTTTAACTCGAGTTAGTAAGCTCTTGTCTACACCTAGTGCCCTAAAGCCTTTGTGGTTTGGGAGTCACTGGCTTAACTCACTACATGGGTTAATTAGAAAGCTTAACTTGAAATGTTAAATAAGTGTTGACATCATTTTTCAAAGTTTATTTGATTTCATGTTTCTGAATAATTGTGCTAGCCTCATACTTGATGTTTGTGGGTGTCATCCCTGGAAACCCTCATGAGACTATAACTTGTCCTTTAGGGGTAACCTAAGGGTTTAAAGGCTTGTAGCATACGCTAAATGCAATCATATCCTGCAAAAATGGCTTAGCTGTTTTAGTTGCTTTTTTATATTTTATTTTAGGTCATTTTTGCTTAAATTAGAGTTTCTTTTAGTCGATTGGATTGCTAAGGACTAGCAATAAGCTGGTTGGGGGTTGTGATGAGAGTCTCAAATTACGTTTTTTTTTTAAATATTATTTCGAAGACCTTGTGATATAAATTTGGCTTAATGAAGATAATTTCACTTGTTACATGTCATTCTCACCAATTGGATTTTAAAAAATTCTATTTTTAATTTGGTGAACTTATTAGGTGAATTTATTTTTTTTAGGAAGTTGGAAAGCCAAAAGATGAAGATATATATATATATATATTTGTCCAAGTTCAAGATAAATGTGAAGAGAATTGCTGGGGGATTATATTGAAGAACTAATTGTAGGATTAAATAGTGGGAACATAAGACAAAACCATTGAAGCTAAGGAGCCTATTTTATGCCATTCATAGTCATTTAACACCCATAACCTAAATTGGGGTCCCTCTCTCGCTATGTGGGGAGAGCCGTGCGTCAAATATTAGGGTTTAGGTTTTTCACATTCAGCTATCATCCCCTCCTCGGCCTAACCATGCTCGTTTTCATCCACATTCAATCGTCGTTGTCACCCTCCTTGACTTGACAGCGTCAAGTCACTTTTCTTCCACATTGAGTAGCTGCCGTTTTTCTTCCACATCGAGTTGCTACCGTCACTCCTATCTTCGACTCTAGGGTGCTGGTCTCGTTGTTGTCTTTCTCAGATCCTGGTCGTTGGTTTCATCGTTCTCTTTCTCCTCTATGCGTCGACATCTCTGGTGGTTTCCTTGGTATGGTGGTTTTAGAGGGTTTGCTCCTGCTATTGTGCCAACAGTCTCCAAGTCAACAACAATCATGGTGCAACTTCGTTGGGGTCAGCAGTCACGGTAGAGGTGGCTTTCCTCACGCTCCCTCCGTCACCCGATCTAGATCTCAAGCCTTACCTTCATGAGAAGATTGTTTTAGCGGGTACGGTGGTTTTAGCGGGTCTGCTCATGCTATTGTTTCAACAGTCTCCAAGTCAACAACAATCATGGTGCAAGCTACTTCGTTGAGGTTGGCAATCACGGTGGAGGTGGCTTTCCTCACACTCCGTCCATTGCCTGATCTAGATCTCAAGCCTTACCTTCATGAGAAGACGGCCGTTGTCCAAAGATTTGGCGTAGGTGGCTCTTCACCTAGGGTCTATAATTTTGATCCTCCTTTTCACGGTGTTGGGCCAGGTTTTTGGCAACTATGGTTGTTGGGTACCATCCTTTCACCCATCTTTACGTGTTTGGCTAGTTACTCTGTGATGGGAATTGCGAAGCCGAGTGATGTTTTTGTCTTTCTTGACAAACCTATGGAGACTGGCCCAATGGAGTCTCCTAGACGCCTTCCTTAATGTGTTCTTGGAACATACATGGGCTTGGCAACCTGCGAATGCTCTTATGCCTAATCCCCATGTTCAAGTTAAGTGGCTAGGCCAATTTTATTATTGTTGTGTGGTGTTTTTTTCCGTTTTCCCCTTAACTGATTTTTGATTTTCCACCTGTCTCAAGGACTATATTTTCATAGGAGGTTTCTTTGTTAGTGTTGAGATGATACGGCGTGCTTGGGGGCTTTTTTTAATTTATTTTCTCCCCTGGCCTGTTTGCGGTTAGTCTCTTCTTTGTGTTGCTTAATGTAAATTTCTCTTCTTTCATTGCCAATTGCTATTAGAGGTGGCTGGAGATGGTGTGCTTAGTAGTTTTTTTCTTTGTTCTTGGCGTATTGTGTTCTCTGTAGGATGTTCTCACTGTTTTGTGGTTGTGCAAAGGACTATGATTTCATAGCAGGACTCTTTTGACAGTTGGATTGTGTTGTAGTGTTCTCGTCGGAGGTCTTTGCATCGAAGGTCTATGTGTCAATTTGCTGTTTTATTTTATCTTACTCTAGCATTGGTCATGCGCGACTATTTCAGTCTCTCTTGTTAGTTAATGACATGTGTGGTACTCTTTCATACCCTGAGGTTTGTCCCTCAGGAAGATTTTAACAAGGTCACTGTTTCATGTCATTCTATGTACTCTACTTTGATTCTAATGAATCATTTCTCAAAAAAACAAAAAAAAAAAAAAAAAAAAAAAAACACCACTACCTCACCATTTCTTTTCCACTAACTCTCCACCATCAACACATGTTTAATCCAATTAATCCCTTCATTACCCACCATAAATGTATTAACTTTCCACTTACCTCGTTGAATACTATAATTCATCCATCCACTCTTTCGGTAAGGATAGACCACTACGAAAAATTCTTTATCAATTTTATTCAAAATTTAGTTATATTTTTCTTTGTAATGAGTTGCTAGAACTCTAGCTAAGGCTAAGGAAATGTCATTTGAGTAAGTTTGTGAATTGTTCTTTAATCCAATATTCAGTATGAATTGCTAAATTATTTTATTTTTGGTTGTTCAATATTTTCATATCCTTTTATTTCGATTGATGTTAAGTGCTACTATCTTTTCATGAGTCCAATTATATTTTTCTCATTGTTAAGAACTGACATAGTAAAAGATCAAATATTAAGCAATTTCATTTTCTAAACAATCATTGAAAAAAGATAACATTGAAAAATTAAATTAGTTTTAATTTCTTCATCTTTTGGTTAAAGTTTTCTATGATAAATTTAACCGAGTTATAATTTGGATTAAAGGGCATGAAACATATTTTTGCTTAAAGAATTGAACCTTGATGCCTTACCATTTACATTATTGAAATTTCTCAATCTCAACAACACTCAAATCAAATTACTTTTCCATTTTGCTTGTCACTTTTATTTTGGTACGTTTAATTATTTCTTTTGTGTTCAGACATTTGCGTACTTGCACCTAGAGGATACAATTCTTGGACTTTTAAGATTATTACTATGTACGTGTGACTACTTGCACTTGGGTAGACACAATAAGTTTTTGGCGGCCTTGCTGGGGAGTGGTGAAGTGAAAAGTAGCACAAGGAAATTCATTGTTAAGGTTTGAAGTTTTAGTTCCCAAAGCGAATTCGGTACGGCTTATCAAACTCACTTTTTAATTTATGTTATTTTTTTTATTTTAATTTTTAATTTTGTGTGTTTTTTGTTTGCTTTTGTCTTAGTTTAAAAAAAATTTAGTTTAGTTTAATTATTTTATTTATTATTTATTTATTTATTATTGAGGAAGATACCTTCTTGGACGATGAGCAAAGCCTAGACGACACAGAGATGGTTGATTGTCTGGAAAACAACAGGAATAGCATATCCTAAGATTGAGATGAAACGGCACTTAAAACCTAGATTCTTTGTAGATATGACAATTTGGGCAAATCGTAAAGATTAAATACCCACTCTGGCAAGAGAGACGTGAGGAGGATGGTCACATACTATAACTTGCGGCACAGGCATCGAGAACTAAAGAAAACAACAAAAGTTGCCTTGTCAACTAAAAACACTAAGGGCACAAGAGATTATATGTAAAACAACCAAAATTATATATATTTGTTTATAATGTATGAGATGCATAGAATTGGAAGGAGTGAATTTGAAAAGAATAGTGTTAGCCATCCAAGAACTTCAGTACAAACGCATAGTAAAAAAAATTACAAACCAAGAATCAATTTGGGGTTCACATCCTCATTTAAACCTAAGAGATGGAATATGAATAATTTAAGCATTGAGTAGCACACTCAACATGGAATTAAGGAGATCATAAAAACCAAATGCAGAGAAAATATCAAGCCTTCAAACTTTCCAAAAGTGCAAGGTATTATGTGAAGTGACGACACCTTAAAAATTTACCTCCTTATAGCAAGGAGATTAACAGGCTGCCCCGGAATACCTATAGTTGTCAGCAATGTATTCGCTATCAAATAAGACAAAAAGAATTTTCTAGACATAAGAGCAAAAGATGATAGAAAGGGTGAAATTGTACAATCAGGATGGCAAGTCATCCAGGTCGACCAAGAACCAGAAATGAAATGCAATGCATTATTTCAGTTTTACCTTTATTGAAAAAGTTTCATTGCCTCCTTGTTGAAGGAAAACTATCGTGACAATCTTTTTGTGAGGTCCACAATAAGCCATCAATCTTAATCTAATATTAATCTTTTTCAGCAAACTTATTACAAGGAAAAATACAAGTGTCAAGGAAAGCTAAAAACCAATTGGTTAATTACAACCTTACACAATTTCTCTTTGCAATTTTAGAAATGACGACTTTTAGATAGAATTTAAAGTTGGGATTTATGACCTCCAAATTTTATGTTTTTTCCCACACAAAATTTCTAAATTTCTATGTTTTCGTTCATGTCTCCCAAATTTATTTCCCTCATCCAAACACATTATTAATCCCATTGTGTAACATCCCGACCTAAAATAAAAATTAATTAAGGAATTACATTTTTACCCTTAAGGATAAGGGTAAATTGGTCACTTTTAATTTGGAAAGGATTTTGGGGAATTGAGTTGTGCCGTTGCGTAGAGCTTGTCGATAAGAATTCGTGGATAGGCGGCACGCTCAATTCCGAGTTGTGACGGTTGAATAAAAGTCTAAAAACAAAAAGGGCAATTTGGTCCTGTAGAAAAAACATTGTTTTAAAACTCAGAAACTCGATTTTGCCCCCTTCCCCCCAAAAAAAACCCTCACATGCTCTCTCTCTCATCCCTCGCGACAAAACACTAACCCGTCACTGTGCAACTGGCGATCGTTGCCATGCTGCCAACTCAGGCCCCGAGACCGGTCCCAATCGACTCGCCTCCACCACCTCGTTTCATCCCACCCCTTATCGTGGGTGAAAAACTAGCGGAACGCCATCTAGATCGAAGGAAAAATCTCCCAAAACTAGTCCTCTTCGTCGACAACAACTTTGGTAACTTCAGGCTGCGCCACCACCTGGAAAAGGTAGCTCTCCTCGCCCTTGATCTTTCCCCTAAGGTTTGCGACGTAGATTGTACCCGTAGCTGCCGTATCGAGGTCAGGAAATTCCAACCAAAATCTTCACGGGTTTGTCTTCGATTGACCCAGTTCCAGCCATTTTTAGCCATGGTCCCAGACCAAAAGTTGTCCCTCTAGGTGTGTTGGTTATGTAGGTACGGGTATTGGCCGGCCATTTGGGATTTTTCATATCGCCGGAAATTACTCAAGCCACCCACCACTTTCGTGGCGGGTGGCGGCGCGTAGGCCACTTGGTGGCAGCTTAGTGAGTTCCAAAACACTCCCATGTCGTCCCAAGCAGGACAGTATGCTCATATTAGAAATTGGATACCGTTTGACTATCGAACGAATATTTCGCCTATTAGGTGATATCCAAGGACGGCCCTGAGGGTGTGCAAATGGTGCCAACGTGCAGGGCCCCAAAATTTTTTTACGTATATATTATGTATATTAATATTATAGGTATTATATATATACTTGAGTGTGCAGGAATGTAACACAAGTGTGTATTTGGTATTGAGTTGGAATTCATCCCCTTGATTTAGTAGGCAAGTTGGATTAGAGTCCATATTGTGTCATTCAATAGTTGTATTTTTACATTTCTACTCCCTTTTTATTATTAACAACATAAAAAAATAATAATAATAAAAAAGTGAGAAGGAAATGCATCAAAGAGGAAGAAAGCAACATATACGAACTTTCTCCAATCAAACAAAAAAAATTTGGAGTTTTTGTTTTCACCCACTCAAGACGAAACAAAAAAAAGTTAATGTCTTCTTCCTCTTTCATTTTCTCAAATTGAAACATTAAAACTTTTATGAATGTTATTTATTATTGCTATTGCATGCTAATAGATGATGAATTTTAGTTATTAAAAAAATTATTTTATGGAAAATTTTTCTATAAATATTTCCATATTAGATTGAGGGCTCCCGTTTAAGTTTCGCACAAGACCCTCAAAATCTCAGGACCGACCCTAGCAATATCCGGGTTGGATAGGTTTAAACCGTCCAATCGGTCTCATTTTCAAATATGTTATTCCTCGTATCCCTAGGATTGTGTACGAATTGGTTGATCAGGAATCGGAGTCCCGGATACTTCAATTTAAGGAGTTTAGGGTTGGATAATCGATAACTGTCCGACCAAACCTTCGGGACTTATTATTTGAATTGAGTTTGATCTTAGGAACTCTCGGATTGGAAATCAGAGGTCATGGGTCTCGTGGACCCGGGTTGACCATAAAGGAAAAGTTGACCAAATTGTTGACCTTGTACCTATCGAGATCGTCTTAACAGAAGATATGCATTAAATTCTAGGAATTAGGGTTTTCTTTCTAATTTAAAATTCGTGTTCGAAATATAATTTTTGATATGTCCTGATGTTTCTTCAATAGGTGCTCAGGCTCCACTAGCCAGCAAGCCGGACTCCCACAGGGCCATACTAGCTTGGGCTTTCTGTGAGTGGACTTTGTTTTAAATAAGCATTGTTTAAAAGTAAATTGCATGCATAAAAAGGGATTTTCAAATTTATATTTGTTTTTACTTGGATATGGGAAATATTGAAAATTTATGCATGTTTGCATGCGAGAATTATAAGGTTTTATTGAATGGAAGTAATAAGGGATTGAAATATGATTTGTGCATGCGGTATATATATTGATGGTGGTATTAATTTGTGTTATGTTTACCATAGTATGTACCTCCCCCATTACTGTTACTCTGGATATTCTAGACACTCGGTAACTCTTCGGAGGTGTGTTGGGAACCGGGCACCCTGACCGGGTGTACCGAAGACCTTGACGGGCTGTCTGGGCGTGTATGACTCATTTCAACTGCATGTATATTGAGGATTCTACCGTGTGTGTCTAGGGAGCAATAGTCCCCCATTGGACTGCTCATTCCCTAGTCACATGAGTATTGAGGATTTTGCCATGTAGTCTAGTAAAACAATCCCCATGTTGGATTGTTTTCCCCCTAGTACATAGCAATGGATGTGCATGCGTTTATATAAATATAAAAAGGGAATTATGGGGTTAAACAAGTTTTGAAATCAAGCATGTGTATAAAGGTTTTACATGCATGGCTTTTGGGCAAATGTTTTCAAAAAGGCGGGGTTAGTAATTATATTTAAACTTTCTTTTTGTCCACTCATTTTTTTGGCACAAAGGCCGTGCTTAACAACCAAGATCAGAAACTCTCTCCGCTCGACCGTCTCCATCGTAGGACTTTATTTTTTGTCATATCTACTGTTTATGACTTGTAAACTAATGAGATCCTTAGAATGCTCTTAACACACCCATGTAGGGTTGGATTTGTGGCCATAGGCCATTTGTAAATTGTGTGTGCTGGCGCTTGGGTATCTTAACTGTGTTTCTGGAAGGTGTAAATTTTGGAATTATTTTTTCTTTTTTTCTTTTTTTTTCAGGGGAGATTGCCCAAATTTCGGTAGAAGTCTCGACCCTTTTATGCTTTTAAGGTGGGAAAAAGGGTTCCTTCTGTATTCTCACAATTACAATCTCTATGTCAAGCTCTAATTATATTTCTCAAAGATTTATTTCAGAATTGCAAATCTCCAATCTCAATTCTCAAATCACAACTCAGGGAATCCTATTTGGATTTTCAAAATCACAACAAAAAATCAATCAAGTCAACAAGGTAACAGCTTAAAAGTGGCATTTTCGTTTGTACACTCCGATGTTTGGAGTTTCCCAATTAGTTCAGATATCTTTCTTATTTCCTTTTTGCAGATTCCCGCTGTACATGAATTTTCCCCATAAAAAATAAATATAAAATGTTTGATCTCTTTGTTCATTATAAGAAATATGTACAAAATCTGCTAAGCACTTCCATTAAGCATTGTAATGCAAACCGATCATTCTGCTTTGGTACAAATTTTTTTTTGATTTTTTTTTCTTAAACCTGTCCGAACTGGATTATTCAGTCCGGTTCACGGTTTAGATTTTAGCAAACCGTCGGTAATGTAGACTTTTTGAAATAATATTTTATCACATGGAGTAGTTTTAAAAGTTGTCACATGATTACATAGGAGAAAGCTAGAGAAGTGAATATAACAAGATAGAAAGAGATGGACAAAGAAAGAGAACAAGAGAATGGCCAGAGGCATCAATGGTTGGAGGCGCTGATGACGGGGTTGGGTTCAGAAGAGAGGTTGTTGGGGCTGGGGTTGGCTTATCATTTTAGCTTTTTCCATATAATAGATTTAATTTATATTTAAATTAAATTATAAAGGAAAAATTGAGAACTTTGGAGAAAAGATTTGGGTCCTGGCTGGGTATCTAGACATCACTGGTCTTCATAAAATATCTATTAAAGAACAAAGAAATGAGAAGGGAAACAACATGTTGGAGCATCCAAAATGGTGGGTACTCTAAATTTGTTGCTCTACTACCAATTTATTTTATTTTATTTTATTTATATAAGCGGTATTGTAGGAAGAAGGAATCAATATAACAAGGGTGCAGAGGTAAATTCTCTTAACCACTTAGACTACAAGTCCCTTACTGCTCTACTACTACTTTTAAAGACCCTTTTAGTAACTAAGGGCACTAGTAAAAAATCACTCTTGCGCGACCAAATTTTGCGCGACGAAAAATTATTCGTTGCTCAAAGTCACTTTGCGCGACGAAACTCAAATCCTTGAGCGAAAAAATTTTGCGCGACAAATTGTTTTTCGTCGCGCAAAGTGACTTTGCGCGACGACAATATATCGTCGCTCAAAGTCTTGCGCGACCAAATTCTGCGCGATGAAAAACTGCTCATCGCGCAAAGTCACTTTGCTCGACGAATTGTCTTTCGTCGCACAAAGTGACTTTGAGTGACAAAACAATAAACTTCGTCGCGCAAAGTCCTTATAAAAATAAATAATAATAAAAAAATCTTTTTTAAAATCTTTGCATGGCGTAATCCAAACATTTCGTTGCCTAAACCAATTTATTTTTGTTTTTTTTATTTTGTATGCATAAAACTTAAGAAATTAAACGGTATATATATTTTTATTAAGTAGCTTTAAATTTATTATTTTAGATCGGATCGGATTTTTGTTAGAAAAATATATTATTGTTGTTCGGATTTGGTTTTTGTTAGAAAATATATTTTTTAAATTGACGACGAATTAGTTCATTGTATTCGTATAGGGTTAAAGAGTGTAGTTGTAAAAAAATCATCAAAATCGGAGTTAAAATAACCGTTAAATCGTGATTTTTCATTTATAACCGTCGAAAAGTTTTGTCCCATTACTTGATCTCTGAATGTTTATTTTTTTTCTGATTTTTGGCGTAAATGATCTCGAAGTATAAACAAACAAGTTTGGCAGTTGGATCGTTGAAACTAGTTTCGTAGAATGCGTATGTCATCAAAACAATATATTCACTAACAATTAAGAGTTTATTTATACTTTTGTTAAATATAACATAAGATTTTATGGTATCCACTAGTGTAAATATTTTAAATTGAAGATTAAATTCAGTCATTGTATTCATATAGGGTAAAGGAGTGTAGTGGTAAAAAATCATCAAAATCGAAGTTAAAATAACAATTAAATCATGATTTTTCATTTATAACCGTCGAAAAGTTTTGTCCCGTTACTTGATCTCTGAACGTTTATTTTTTCCGATTTTTGGCGTATATGATCTCAAAGTATAAACAAACAAGTTTGACGGTTGGATAGTTGAAACTAGTTTCGTAGAATGCATATGCCATCATAACAATATATTCACTAACAATTAAGAGTTTATTTATACTTTTGTTAAATATAACATAAGATTTTGTGGTATCCACTAGTGTAAATATTTTAAATTGACGATCGAATTAGTTCATTGTATTCATATAGGGTCAAAGAGTGTAGCTGTAAAAAGTCATCAAAATCGGAGTTAAAATAACTGTTAAATCACGATTTCATTTATAATCGTTGAAATTTTTTGTCCTGTTACTAGGTCTTTGAATGTTTGTTTTTTGCGATTTTTGGGGTATACGATCTTGAAGTATATACAAACAAGTCTGACGGTTGGATCGTTGAATGGTGTGTGTATATATATATTTATTTACTTATTAAGTAGTTTTAAATTTATTTATTTTGTACATATGACAATTAA